TGGTGAAGAATGAAGTGTCCTGGTCAGAATGAACTTTGTTCTTGTTCTCACCACCTCGACACATTTCTCTGCTCTTCTGCAGTATGAACAGGCCTTTAAAACTGCAGCAAAGTGAAGATGAATCTCCTGTAATCTTTGTGGCTCAGCGTAGAAAAGAGTTTCTTCGATTATAGCCTGGAAAGTGAACCCTAAATTACATCATGTTACATATCTGCAAACACAAACTGTGCATCCCTCTTTTTAAATTGCCTGATTTGACTGTGTGTGACTTAACAGTGACTTTTGTCATTAATGTAAGTTTACATTCATTTCATTTCACCAACTGGGTGAAACTGTCAATATTCCCCAATGTTTGTGATTCAGAGTGACAGCCAGGAGGCTAATGTAAATGCTGTTCCCCCTGCTGGTGTTTACTGTTCGACTGGTACTGCTGTTTGGAAGCTCACATTATAAGATGTCTGTTGCCAGGGCCAGGAATAATTAGACAGCAGTGTTTCATTTCCTATCATCCCAGAAATGGGCTGAGTCTTATTGTGGCTGGGTCAGGTCACTTCATTGAGTTATCAAAGCAGCAACACCATCCTCAGGAGCCTTCACACAGCAGCTCCTTCAGCCTGGACCATCCTTTAGGTCATGTGTCCCAGCCTTCTGATATGACCTGTAAAGGTCATGGAACCACATCATCTGAAGCAGTGCTTCTGTGGAGAACGCTGGTCATCATGGTTAAAATAGTGCGTGACTGATGTGGGTAAAATGATCATAAAACCCTGTGGTTGAGCTTTGTTTCATACATATATTGGTTTAAATACTACAAGGCAGTGATCATCAACGGGCGGCCTGTGGGCCGAAAACTGCTCACCCAACCGTCCCATCAGGCCCATGACTGACTTCTGAAATTGTGAGGATCAAAAAGAAAATATCTTTTCTGTTCTGTTCTCTGCTTTCAAAGCAACTGAAAAAACAACAGAGACTGAATAACTTTATCAGAAACAGGCTATCATGAGTAGCTTGAGATTACGCAACATATTTGTGGAGCAGGTGGTGCTGCGTACTGGAATTTCCTCTGATGAAGTTGATTATTCTATGATTTATTTATTGTTTTGTACATGGCATAACACCCAGAAACATCCAGTCAAAATATCTGTATCACTCATGGTGGCTGACTGTGGTACTGTATAGGTGATAGGAGCCTAACTGACAGGCTAAAAATGCCTTTAGTTTTTAAGAACATTAAAACATCAAAACAACAGATATCAAAAACTAAATTATTATAAGGTATCATTGTCTCCATCATAGTTTTATGCAATAATAAACACACTGTAATGGTTGTGGCTCAAGCAAACAGTGATAACAATTCAAAAACCAAACAGCATGACTGCAGTGTGTTTACCATTTACCATGTCGGAGAAGAGTATGGATTGTCTGTCGCACACAATGAAAATAAAAGTAGTCAAAACAGATAGATGTTATGTTCTGGCATGGAGCTGCCACACAGTAACTCTCTCCCATAACTTTACACTATTAGAGTTTTATGACCCTGGTTGTCTCCTGTGTGAGGCAGCAAACCTAACAACATTCTCAGGGACATGATATCTCAGTTATGACTTGACAAAACCTCTTCAGCTTTGGCACTAACATTTACTTTGACTCAAGGATGAACTGATTAGATCTTAGTGGCCAAACATCAAAGGTCACAGTCATGGTGACTTCACAGAACTAGATTGTCGGGATCTCGTCAGATTTAGCAGAAACATTCACTTCACTCAAGGGCAATAGTGATCCTTCTGGAATTCACACAGCAGTTATTTCACACAAATGTTTCATATTTTATATGATTCTGAATGAATAGCTGGCCGTCATTACCTATGGCAGTCACCACCTGTTACCTAATATCAAATATGATCTTTGTAAGCATCAGAAAATCACCAAAAAATAAAGTTTCAGTACTGTTCAGCGTAACTTGCTGCAAGACACAATTTACATTTACTTTTGGGCCAGAAATAGGTGCATCAAATAAATATTTAAGCATTTAACACAGAGTGAAATCTGATTCCTCACACCACTTCTGCTTTAAGATGCATTTTAGCTAAATGTTGAAAATATCACTCTCAGAGAGGCTAATATATATTATTCCCTCATCCCATAAAATATGTGGACATTGTCTACAACACACACACACATATATATATATAATTTGATTCATCCATTCATTCACACCGAAATTAGCTGCTGTTTGTTCTCATTAATGTGACAAGGAAAACTGCACCAGCCATTTCTACACCACAATCAAATACAGCAACACTGTCTCAGCTGCAGCTCATAAAAAATGATTAATGCTAATGCATGTGTTTGTGTTTGCCTCAGGTTCAGGCTGCTTCTTTGCTAATGCTAACAAGTCTAAACTGAGTTGCAGGAATTCTTGATCATGTGTGTTTTTTGTCAAGTTCAAGTGTTGTCTCTGATCCTCATGCAGCCCTGCATCAGAAGTTATCTGAAAATCTCATCAGCATACACAAACCTGTAAACATGTGTGCAAAGGTTGAGCTTAATGATTTAGTTAATTAAGTTAATTAAAACAAGAAAAAACACAGTAATGTGTATTGTAACTTTTTCTTTCTTTCTTTCTTTCCATTAAGTTGGATTTGATAATATTGATATCAGAAAGTCATATTGAGAATCAATCAGTGTCAAGGTTTTGGTATTTGGTTTTGTTGGGTATACCCAACACAAATCCAACACACTAATTCTACACAAAACTCATTATTAGAGTTCACTGTTGCTGTTACAGTTAGTATATGAATAACAACACTTAACTGTATAACTGCATTATATTAACACAAGCACAGTCACTGCAGGTTAATACAGGGCAAAGAGTTTTATTCTGAGTCTTCACTCTCTTTGGTGATTGCATGTAGAGGAACAGTCTGTATCAGCAGTACTGCTCAGTTGTCAGCATGAACACACTACAGGCTGAAAACCTGCACAGAATTAGAATCCAGTGTGGATTTGTGAGACATCATGTGAGAGGACTGTATCATCTTCTTCTTGAGTCCAGACCAAGTGAATCAAGCTGAGAAAATGTGACGAGGTATAGTGCTGATCGACTTGTCCTGCATTAATAAGACACCTCCTGTAGTAAACCTGTTAAAAACTGGAAGAGAAATCTCCAGTACTGGTGGCGAGCCCAGTGCCAGTATACAGTGCCTGCTAGATTGGCCATGAGCAGAATTTAAAGCCCATGAAATATGGAAAAGGGCACAGTGTTGGCCCAAAGCCTGGCCACCCACTCAGCCCTCAGGCAGGGGTCCCAACCCATCACATCCCTGCCTTCTCCTTGTGTGTGCATCTCTCGCTTTGCCTATTCATTTTCACTTCCACACATTATTTGCTAAATTGGTTACACACTGTTCTGTCATTATGATGAAATGAGCCCTGATTGCCCAATGCTTTGCCAGGTAAAATAAATTTGTTATTCTGCTATAGCATGATAGACAGGGCTGCCCAAAGATAAATGCAAAAAAAAAAAAAAAACTCAGGCATCACGAGGTTTGCCAGGGGCCATTTTGGCTCCATTCAAATGGTTTTTGCCAAGTGGCAGGATGGCTGCCAGTTTCCACAGCAATCTCCGCCACCTGTGATGGATAGCCCAGTGGGTTAGGCTACACAAACGCAGCTGTGACTGCACAGAGCCATAATGGAAGAAGGGGGGACCTGTGAGCAGGAGATAGACAGAGATTTTATAAGCTTTCATATTGCTGGAAGTTGAAACATTGAGAGCAAATTCAGAGCTGCAGAGAATTTACTGCGGTCAACCATAGCTGCGCTCATTTGCTCTGCACCCTGACAGACATAACTGAACAGAAATATTCAACAGCTTTGATTTGCTTTGTTTTATTGTATTTTTTAATCCAGGCACACGGTTAAACACAAATCCACTCAGTGTGTCAATTAAGAGAGAGAGGTGGTAAGATCTTTCTTTTTTTCTGTATACAACTCTATATAAATTCTAAAGATAAGATCTGTATAGGTGAAAATCTGAAAAGTAGGACTTAATGATGGTGCCAAATTCATATTTACATTCATTAATAATTTCACAGGTGCCTGCAGGGGCTGTCACAGTTGTGCCGCCATGTCAACAACTTATAACCCCATTTGTTCTGCAGATGTAATTTCAGCTTTAGTTTTGTGCTATTCAGCGCTGATTCAATCAATAAAATAAAATAAATCAATTAGTTATTAATTGTTTATTGCAGGCATGTCCAAACTATTCCACAAAGGGCTGTGTGGCTGCAGGTTTTTGTTCCAACCAATCAAGAGCACATAGTTTGACCAATCAGCTGTCTGAAGAGTGATACTGCTTATTTGGAAAGAAAACCTGCAGCCACAAGGCCCTTTGTGGAATAGTTTGGAGATGCCAGGTTTATTGTTATTTACATGACTTAACTATATAATCTTTACTTGTACAATATATTTTTATTTTTAAAAAGAAATCAAACTGGATCTAAAATGAACCATTTGAGTTTGGACTGATATTTTTCTTTACATCAAATTAACAATGCAATAAATGAATTGATCAAGAAAACAGCAGTAATAATGATTTGTAGATATAGATTTATATTTTTTTAATATATTGGACATTCAGGTGCTTCTTCTCCTCTGCATTATTTGACACCTTGCTATTCATCCCGTGATCACCAGACCAGACTGACAGTCATTACACATTCATAACTGAGTCCTGCACTTCCCAAACAGCAAATTCTCTGTCTGTACAGACTTTAGTTTTATGTTAGCTAACAATCCACACACTGGGCAAATTCTTAAGTCTGCTTTCCCCCGTCTGAACACATCACATGAAGTTGCTAATGAGCCTGATAACTTGTTAGCAACATATTAGAGGTGAGACCCAGGAAAAAAAAAAGAAGAAGAAGAAGAACTGGTGTTTTACATCTAGTAAATTATCTTTAAACTCCAGAAATAGAATAATTTGATGAAATAAAAAAGTAGGTTGGTGGTTGTTAGCACTCTTGCCTCTCAGCAAGAAGGTTCTGGGTTCGATTCCCTAGAGCCTACGACCTTTCTGTGTGGAGGTTGCATGTTCTCCCTTTGTCTGTGCAGGTTCTCTCCAGGTTCTCCAGCTTCCTCTCACAGTCCAAACATATGCACACAAGGTTAATTGGTAACTCTAAATTGCCTGTGGTGTGTGAATGTGAGTGTGTGTGTGTGTATGTCGTTCATCTCTATATGTCAGCTCTGTGATAAACTGGTGACCTGTCTAGTGTGAACCCTGCCCTCACCCTGTGACTCTGTGTGGATAAGCAATATAGACAGTGGATGGATGTAGAATTAGTTATTGTTGATATTGATGACAAGGGTGGAGATAATGTGTTCCTCAAACAGTGCATGTTGAATGGCAGTGTAATGTTCACATTTCTGTTGTGTTTCCTCCACAGAGAGACATGCTGGATGTCAGTCAGATCATGAAGGATCTTGCCAGTATGGTCCATGAACAAGGAGATGCCATAGGTAAAGTTTGTATGCATGGTCTGTGTCTGTCTGAGTGTGTGTTGAATATTGTTTACATTGTTGTCCTTAACTCAATTAGTGTGGTGGTCATGTTTTAATTTGATGCACTTGATTAGTAACAACAGGCTGAAATTTCTGCTGGGCAAAACAAACTTTTTAACCTCCACCTTGCTGCTGCCCTGCCGGCAGATTCTGTGATGAGAAGCAAAAACGCTGTGGGTTCATACAGACAGTGGCCGGTTAGAGAAAATCCATTTAGACACCCTGATATCTGTAAATGGCTCTCTGCACCCTGCAGTGATTCAGACTTGGCAAAAAGAATGAAACTTAGCGCATAGATATAGGGCAGATATAGAGGCTTTGCTGCTGGGTCATACATCTGCCATCAGCTACGTCTATAGCTCCATCACAAACGCTCACTGGAGAGTTGGCTTTTACTTAATAATGTCAAACAATGACACAGACAAATAGACAAACCTGAAAAATAATCTTGCCATGGTTTGTAGATCAATTCTGGGAAGAAGTGAAAGGTGCGATAAGACAGATGACTTTCCAAATTTTAATCTTTTACTGTTTCTGCAAAATACCTAAAGCAGAGGCAGGAGGACAGCCGGTTCATCTGCAGCTTGTGTTGTGGCCAAAAAAATAACAGGGAGCTAAATTTAACCCTTTAATTGTATCATCTTCTTAAAAGTACGTTCCTGTCTTCTGTTTTAAAACAGAAGGCAGGAACATACTTTTTTATTTTAAAACCAAAAAACATCTCCTTAATCCCTGGTCAGTCAGCGCTGCAATTAACCAACTAGACAAATTTGGGCTGAAGAGATCTAGCTGGATTGAATGTGGAGCTATTCCCTGGGGTCTGTGACCTTCAGATGCAAACCACTGGACGATCTGGTAGCACCAGGCAGACTACCTACACTGTTGCAGGATCGATGTCAAAGTTCATGCTCCCAAGCTGCCCAGGCTGTTAGGAACATTATGGGCTTTAGATGGGTGGGTGTTTAGGTAGCTGGGACAGCAAGAATGGAATTTGGTGAGTAGATTTCCAGGAAGAGCAGGACAGACCATCCCTCCGTCACTGCCAGAAGGTGCAATTTTGAATCTGAATAATTAGGAGTGCAAACGGAAAGGACTGGCAGGAGCGTGACAAAAGTGTACATGTGTTCCCCATGCAGCAGCTACAAAGACAAAGCCATCAAGCAGCTGATTCATTTCTCAGAGGTCTGATTCCAAGCTGAGAAGATCTTTACAGAGGTCACACTAAACTCTAATGAACACCTTGACAGGATTTAATAACCAATACATAAGACTTCAGGAACAACGCTGGGTGGTGGGGTGGGCAGGGGCAGGGCTTTGTTTTGACATCACAAAGTTACAGAGGTCCTGACAGCTGCATTTCACTGTAGACTGAGGTTTTGATACTTATATAGTATGAATATGGGAGTAGACCTACTTTATGAACAAACCCATGGATATTAAAGAAGAAGTCTTTTTGTTTTCCGGCTGTTGTGCTAACCCTCCACCTGGCTATGTGCATTTGTTTTTAATGATACCAGTGAAAAGGTGTGAAGATGTGTATATTTGTGTAGTCTTAACTGTCATAAAAAAGAGATTACGGGCTACGGAGTGCGTTAGTGTCACGGTGCACAGAGACGTGAGCTGGGACACCGGGTCGGAGGCCAAGTGCTGCACCGATGTTGCAAAGTTGGTTTTCAGCTCAGAGAGGCCAGGTGGTGGTACTGGAAACACAGGGGAAGAGAATGTTACTGAGCACAGTTCTCAACGAGCCGGGCCAGCGGATGTGCTGGTTCGGAGCGAAAATAAGTCGGGACCGCGTTGATCCGGACTTCTGAAATCGCGATCCAGCCGAGTCAAGCTGTGTCGGGTCCGGACCATTGATAACATCGGTACAGCCGTACACATGTGACTTCCTGTGTTTACATATCACTCGGGGCTGCCCACTATAGAGTGGCGAAGTCCTGCCCCTTCTGCTGGACCCCCATGGGACCTTTCGGAGCGTAAAAAATGAATGGCGTTCAATGGACAGAAAATAAATACTTTCTGATCCCCCAGTTATGCCTTGAATTACACAAATGTTGTTTATAGGCTTAAATGATCATTTCTCATATCAAGAGTTTGGCCGTTTATTGGGCCATTGTTCAGTTAAATGCTGTTGAGAAAACACAATTAGAAAGACTACCTGTTGTGTTGCGTATGTGACGTGACATCATCGCCCTTTCCCTCCCTTTCTTCTCCATCCACAGCGATTCAAGTCAAGATGCCGGTGTGTTTTGTTCCTGAATGTCCTCATTCCAGTAGGAACAGCTGAACTTTCTTTTGTTTCCCGTCTGATAAGAGGACTAGGAGATCAGAGAGCAGAGAGATCGCCATGTCTGTTGCAGAGTTCAAGTGCGGGTGGTGACGTATATCATTCGCGTCAAGAGCAGCGAGGAGCTGTAGTTCTCAAAGCGGGCTCACACAAAACCTAACATTATCAAAATTCTTCGCGCTAAATTGTAGTCTTCTTTACATAAAAAAATTATCTTTATATATCACAAACAACAGATGTGAAATCCATGGCACAATTCAAATCGGGACCAGAAAATAATTTTTATCTACAATTGAATCTCATTGATAATTTTTTTGCTTTTGAGGACCCATGTACCAGAAACAGAAGGATGGGACTTCGCCACTCTATATACATATTCTATTGACACATGAAACTCCGTGACCAGCTCGCGGCTGCATTTGTCAAAACCATCAAATCCATTCCAATAATTGGCTGAAATGGCAATGATTTCTATAAAGAAGTATTCCATGTTAAGGTGACAATCATCCATACAAATATGAAACTAAAAAGCAGGAATGAGAGGAGAAATTTTTCTCTCAGGATCCTCAGAGATAATTTGATTGTTACATTCTGATGTCATTTCTGTCAGGACCCTAGAGCACCCCCATGAACAGCCAGTTGGCACGGGTAAAAAAAAAAAAAAAATAATAATAATAATAAGTTTTATCATCCAAACCACAACAAATTAGAAGGAGATGATTCAAAGGAGTCCAGAGATGGAGATGGGTGAGCAGACAACAGGTAGAGGGCATCTTTGGTATTGGCAATGAAGTTTTTACAGCAGGTGGCTGGTGGAGCAGGTTCTTGACAGGTGCAGCCAGCAGCCGTGCAGTTGGTGATCAGGTCAAATGATGTATGATGTATTAATAACTTCTATTTATTCTCGAAGGACATTGAGGTTACCCTAATTTTCAATGTTATCAAGTTAACAAGCACAATAAAACCATGATTACAAACAACACAATATATACATTATGTTGGAGTGCATTCCATGAGCATTTCTACCAATATTTCTACTAACTCCAGGAACTTTGAGAAGGAGCAGTTCAGATAAGCAGGTCATGTAAGTGCCTAAGCTCCACGCCAATAAATTTACAATATACGGAGGTAGTCTGCCTAGAAGGGCATTAAAAAAATATAAAAACCAGTGTCTCTTGCACCTTTCCTCAAGAGAGGGCCAACCAGCTTTCTCATAGAGAACACAGTAGTGAGTGCCATATTTATCACCGGTGATAAATCTAAGGGCAGAATGATACACACAGTCCAGACCCTTCAAAGTTGAAGCAGCAGCATGTCTATAAATTATAGCTCCAGAATCCATAACAGACATAAACACAGCTTCAATGATTTTTGACTTTTCTTGCGAGCATTGGAAAGATTTCTTTCTAAACAGAAAGACAATTTTTTGTCACAACTTTGAGACAGGTTCATTAATATGATATTTGAATGAGAAATCTTCATCTAACCAGATACCAAGTATTTGTAGTCTGTGACTCTCTTGATCTCTGAGTCAGTTTTGGTGTATAAATGCACACCACTGTAATCAATATTTTTGGCTCGGGAAAACAACAAGTATTTTGTCTTATTTGCATTAAGAAGTAGTTTGTTTGATCAGAGATTCTTGAATCAAAAGCAAGTTGCAAGTTATTGATGGTTGACTGTACAGAATATATGTAGACAATATAATATAAAATTGTGTCAACTGCATTAAAATGGGCATGACATCCATTTAAAGAAGGAATAATATCATTAACATAGACAGTGAAAAGCAAGGGACCCAATACAGACATATACTGTAGTGTATATATGTCTAAAGAAGAGTCTCAGCATCACTTTGTGCACAATTTATACTCATGCCCTGTAAATGTGCACTTACTTTGGGATCTGTAAAACTATTCTGCAGGTCAAAGCAATGCTGACATTAACCATGTAGCAAATTGATATGCTAATTCACTACCTTTCACAAGATTTTTTTTTTAACACACAAGTCCTTCACCATTTACATTATTATAATACTATTATAATACTACTAAGTGTTTCTGAAGTTAATGTTGTCCTTGCCCATGAAAAAATATGAATCAAAAACATTTCAGCACAGGACTCCTTATATAAAAGCGTGTTTACATCAAAGGGTGCAACTGGAAATGTTGGGCCCCACAGCATAAAAACAATAGCAAAGAGCTAAATGCCTTATA